AAGCCACGAGAATAGAAAGTGATTCACAGAGACCAGCTGAAGCCATTTTTAGATGTTCACTCTTAGGCAGGAGCTTCTGTGAGCCCCTGTGAAGGCGGCCAGAGCTGGCTGCGCATTGCACAGAGTGGTTTGTTCTGCAGGGGTGAGATGTTCTCTAATATTTGAGTGAGGGGAGGGACCCCCCTTGGTGTGGGGGAGCTGTCAATATATGAGATACGGATGTGTGTCAAAATGAGCTGAGCGCTAAGAAGCTTGACTCACATCTCCGCAGAGGATGCTGAAAAACAGACAGGCTGAAAACAAAAAATGTATCAGTTGTTTCATTTATCAAAGTTCTTGCAGTTCCCAGTTTGAAGTGAGGGAAAGCAAAGCAAATATCTGGCTAGAAAAGTGAAGTTGAAAGCTGGAGGACTGGGGTAAATAAAACAAAAAGTTAGAAAACAGTGCTTTGAAAATTTCAAAGAAAAATGCAAAGAACAGACAAATGCTTTTTACTTTCTCTCTGTTCATTCTTATTTTCTGCTTGCCAACACTAGCACGACCCTAGCATAAGCCTTACAGTAAAGAGCGACAGGATCGAGGCAGAAGGCTGCCATTTAGGAGTTGTTTCAACAGTGAGCAGATTACTGAACTTCCTTTGAGCCCCTGTTTTCTCATCTGTAAAGCAGAGGTTAGAAGTAAGAGAATATACCTTGTAGGGTGATGAAGGTAATAATCCGTGTAAGGCGCTTAGCACAGTGAGCCACATGCAAATACCCAATTAATGGTAGCTATTATTTTTGGTCTCCCAAGTAAAAATTACACTCTAAATACAAAAGCGTCATTGCATCATTGCAAACTTTTCAAACCGAAGCTTTACTTGATAATGAGAAGATTTTATAAATAGGCCTAGGAGAGGGAGAATGTTCCTTTGCAGACACAGTTATCAGCATATTGATTAAGCACCAGGGCAAGACCGGTTGTGTTCTGGATGTTATACAAATGAGGAAAATAAACAGTGTTCAAGTCACGCGGTGTCACTACCTACAGACACAGAGTCATCAAGGGGTGTTTTGTGAGAGTGGATTTGCAAAGGCCCATGGCATTCACAGGTTCTTATGTAAGATGATAAATATTGTGACCCCATTTAATAAAACAGACATTGGCTAATTTTACACAATCTCAAAGGATGCAAAATGGGTGGCAAAGAGAAAAGAAGGGTATTATGAAATGAATGGTAGGGTTATTTTCTTACAAGAGGAATTGTTATCTCTGCCTGGAACATTTTTTTTTTTGCCAGATCGTTGCTTGGATGGCTTTTTGTCATTGAGGTACTGGGTCAAATGTCACCACCTCATAGGGATCTTCCTGGGCAGCCAATCTAAATTAAACCCATTCCCATTCTTTTATTTTTTAAATTTTTTAAAAAGATTTATTTATTTATGCATACAAGAGCTGGGGCACAGGCCAGAGATGCAGAGGGTGAGAGGATTCACCAGAGACAGAGTGGGCAACAGAACAGGCCGACTGACTGAAATACACTGCTGAGGGGAGTAGCAGGCGAGTCTGCTGTGCAATGTGGGTTGCTCCCTGGCGGGCTGGGGATCGAACTAGTGCTGCAGAGGCTTTGGATTGCTTCATAGTGCTGTGCTTAACTCCTTGCACCACCAGGGAGGCCCCTCATTCCCATTCTTTTAATCCTTTAGTCTTATTTTACTTTTTAAGCACTTATTCTCTTCTTCAATTACTTTGTTCATACATTTGTTGATTTATTTAATGTCCAGTTATCCCCATAAAATTGCACACAAGTCACTTAAGAGTAGGGATTTGTTAGTCAATAAATCCCAGAGGATGGCACGTAGCAGGCATTTGATAGTTGATGAGAAAACAATTGAATAATTACATATATATATTTTTACATAATTTACCTTCTCTTGTGGTGATTTACTTAGCAAGTCTCACTTTCTTGGATGGTTCTGGCTACTTGCTATGGCGCAAAAGACTGGAAATTTAGATGAGTGGCTTAACTGTAGATGAGTAGAACATCCTGGATGTTCAGTATTGTTAGGAGTTTAATTGTGTCCCCTGAAATTAACATATTAATGTCCTAACCCCCAGAACCTCAGAAGGTCACCTCATTTGGAGACAGAGCCTTCACAGAAGAAATCCAATCTTCTTACCTTAGAAACATATGTGTGCTGGTTTGCTAGAGCTGTCATAACAAAGGACTACAAACTGGATGGTTTAAACAACAGAAGTTTATTGTCTCCCAATTCTGGAGGCCAGACATCTGAGATCAAGGTATTGGCAAGGTTGGTTCCTGCTGAGGGCTGAGAGAAAAACAATTTCATGTGATTCTCCTTTTCTGGTGGTTTCAATAAAACTTGGTTTTCCCTGCCTTGCATAGTGTCACCCCAGTTTCTGCTTTCATTTTCACATTAGTATTTTCCCTTTGCTTGAGTTTGTCTCCATAGCCCCCCAATATGAGGATACCTATCACCCTAGGGTGGACTAGCACCCACCCTAATGACCTCATTTTAAATTAGATTCCTTCTGTGAAGGCTCTGTCTCCAAATGAGGCGACATTCTGTAGTATTAGGGGTTAGGACATTGCAGTGGGCAGGAATGGACACGGAGCAGGTTTTCTGATCCAGCAAACTGTGTAAAGGAGGAGTCCTGGAGTCCTCGGTGGCTTTTGCAGGCTTTTATTGGGATTTACCAGGCTCATGGCAGGCAGGGGTGCTGGGGGGCCGGGAGGTTGGCAGGCCTCCCATCCCCCAGGAAGTCTTCACTCTGTCTGGGCTCTCTGGCCTTCTCTAGTGGTCTTCTGCTTCTCTTCTTCTCTGCTGGTGTCCCCGTGACTCCGCCCTTAAAAAGCCCAGTCTTAGCCCAGGTGAAATCCATCTACATATGCCCACACCCTACTCCAGGTGCCTGCCATCAGGCATGCATTTGGGGCCACAGGGTTCAGTCATCTATCCTAATGGTGGGAGGGCAGAAAAGCCTCATACTTTTACCTTTCCCACAGACATCAACATGTGAATTTCAGGGGACACAAACCCCTAACAACACTGAACATCCAGGATGTGAGAAGATGATATTGAGTCATGCAAATTCACTTACATGTTTTTTCCCCTCCAGGATAAGAAAACTTCAGTCCTAGGGAAAAAAGCAGGACCAAGTAAACACACAGAACCATGCATGACATGCAGTGTTGAATCAAAAAGTATATGGTGAATGAAACTGAACTTCTAAATAACTTGCTCCTTCAGTTTTTCCAAGTTTGTGTTTAAATGTTACCTCAGTGGGAACTAGCCTGACTTCCACATATAAAATCACGAACTTATCTCCCTTTCTGCACTTGGTATTTCTCTGTAACACAACTTTTCCCCACACTCTAATCCCTTTTTACCACGTTAATGCCTGTCTTCTCCCACAAGATGGTAAACACCACAGGAGGAGGCATTTTTATTGGTCTGTTTACTTCTGTGTCTACCAGTGCCTATTACGGTTGCTGGATAAGAGCAAGCTCTCAATTTCATTGAGTGAGTGAATGAATGAATGAATGAATGAATGGTGTCCATAGAGAGCCCTGGGATCTCTTGGTGTGTAATTTCCTTGGATCTGCCATTGTCCTTCATAGAATCTCAACACTGAGGAATCCTTCAAAGATCAAGCTCCTGTCTCTGCCACTTGAATTTGCTCTTTGACTGGTGACAGCTTCCTAACATGACTATCTTTGCATGCAGAGCCCCAATTTTGATAACAAAAGAGGAAAGGACTGTACATGTTAAATGACAGGCAAAATAATATGGTTCAGGAGTGGAGTGAGTGTGTGCGTGTGTAGAACAAATGTACGAGGAACAGAGACATGATGGGACTTACTATAGATTAGTTCAAACAGTAGGCTGGGAGAAGGGCAAATGTGCTTTGGAGAGTAGCTGGGGCAGGATGACTCATAATTTTATGTCCAATGCAGAGTAAAAGAACTGGAAGATTGTAAGGGCAACCAATGACCGTGAACAGCATAGCAGTAGAGAAGGAGGCTTCTCCAACTTCATGCTTCTAGGAACCATCCCCGGATGTTGGCAAAATGAAGATTGTGATTCCTGGTTGAATCTGGAATTCCTACAGTGTTCTCAGAGAATGTCTGTTCTGAATTATACTTTGAATATCGGAACATGGACCCTACAACCAGACTTCCTTGTTTCAAATTACATATAGTTGCCACTGATTAGCTGTGTGATCTTCAGAAAGTTATTTCACCTGTGTCTGCGTTTACCACATGGAAATCAGATGAGGTACTCTCATCTTTATATATCACAACTTATTAGTGTTATTTCACTAGGGGAGTGGGTTTGACTTGGGGTGCGAGTCAAAGATTTAGCTGTATTTTTTTTATTTTTCAAATATGGACGTGTTCAGATATTGACATGTGTGCACATTTTCTTCCTCTCCTATGCAAGCAAATTACATAAGAAGCCGGATTAGTTATGCATATGCTGCTCTGAGAGCGGCTAAAAAAGCCTTTTTATAAACTGCTTTGGGTCTGGGATAAGACACCGGCATGGGCAATGTTATCCAAACCCTAAATTCTCCCTTATGCAGAGCTCAACGCTGCTTTCAGGTATTCAGCAAGAATACCTTTTCCAGCACCCGCGGAGTGGTGGCCGCAGCGAGGCGCTCGGGAGAGCCGCAGGGAGCCGAGGGGTGGGGGCGCCGCCACTGAACTGGAGCGCGGGGTGGGGAGAGGGCCAGCCACGTGGACCACCCGGCCGGGCGGGGGCAGGGGCAGCGGGCAGCTTGGGCCAATCAGCGCGGCCCGCGGCGGCCGGACCCTCCCGGCGGGCACGCTGGTTAATTCGGCTCCGCACTGCAAGCTGCGTGCTGCCCTGGACGGGGCGCACGGACCCGGGGCGCACGGACCAGCGCGCAGCTGCCCGCGAGCCTTTGGCCTCTGGTTGCATCCGCCGCTTCAGCAGAAGCTGCATCTTTCGCGGCAGCTTCGGGTCTGTCTTCGGAGAGAAAGAACTTTCACAGCGACCGGACTAGGTGATGGGTCCCTCCCCGGGCACCCGCGGAAAGGCGGCGCGGTGAGCATCCTCAGTTCGCTCCCCTTCCTGGACGTGGGGATCCGACTTGGCTGCCCGCTGTAGTCGAGCAAGAGGGTTGGAAGACAGGGAGGGTTGGGGTGGCTTCGGACCCAGCGCTCACGCGCTGTCTCTTGGGCAGCCGCTGCTTCTCAGGCTGGTACCGACGACTTGATTCTGCTCGGGGTAGCGACTCTGATCCCCGCTTTCTGAAGTGTGGGGTGACGGACCCTGTGCACTTGGTAGTTGGAAGCGGAGGCTCTACCTGAGCTTGTGTGGCTGGGGAGGCGCAGCGGCTGCTTCCAGCTTCGGGGTTCGTGTCTCGTTCGGACATCCTAGGGGTACGGGGAGGCCACTTGATGCATTGGTATGGGGGAGGGCGAACCGCAGTGATCTCTTGTTTGGGAAAGCCTTGGGGCTTCATCCCTTAGGTTTGAGCCAGGATCCTAATAGCGGCGAGCAGGAGGGATCGTGATAGCCAACACCTGAACTCTTGGTGCCGATGCTCTTGCTGGGAGGGCGCCGCGCGCGCCCCGAATGCGAGTTCCAGCTGGGAGCGCAAATCTTCCCGCGCAAGTGGGGAACCGGAGCGGCGTGGAACTTCTTTCTGTCTCTTTCCGCGTCAGGCGTCAGATTTGTGCATCGTCTCTGCATTTCGTCGCCTCTTTTCCCAGACCCTTTTCTTGCCTAAATTGCCTTGCCAGTCAGCACTTGGAAAGGTGGGCGTCTTTAACCCTAAACTGGGAGCTCATCTTTGGGGGAGATGGGAAGTGGGAAGCCTGATGTCGCATAAATACGGAGGCATCCGGAGTCAGGCTCTTCACTGGGGCTTTCCCCCCCGCCGAATCTGTATCATTTAACTATTGAGGGCTCCGCACGTATTTCTGAGTACCTGAGCTAAGCCATTATCAACTCCCCAAACAGATGCTTTTGCACAGGTTCGTGGAATCCCTGAGACCTAGCAATGTGCCTACCCCCCACCACCATGATTTAATCCCTCTTCCCCCTTCCCCAACCACCGCTTTGGGGAAGCATCTGTATTCCTGAACTCTTTTCCCCTTTAAATTTGCAATGGCCATCCCTTCAAGATGAGCAAGGTTGATGTGATGTGACAGGCGATCCTGATGGGCGTGTTCCAAGTCTTAATCTAGTTCTTCCTACTAATACCCTGGGAACAGGGATTGTGTACGGCAACTCGAAGCCCCAACCTGCAGACACAGACACCTAAACTTGGCGCACGTTCATGGCTTAGCTACCTGATCTTTAGGGTCACCCCATTCGCGGAGGGGGGGCCAGGTGGGAACACTGTGTATCAGCCTAGTTCAGGCAGGAACTGTTAAAATGACTAAAATAATTTAGAAACATCCACTTCACAGTATTATCACTGTTTGCCATTCAGTCATTTGCCACCAGATGTATGACTGAAGATTTCTTCAGTAGCTTACTGTGGGTTTTAAGATGAGGAGCATTTCTGCTGTTTGTGACCATAAATTAGTGTGCAAATCTAATACTTCCTTTAGTTTGGAAATACGGATCTTCATCAGGCAGCATCAGGGCACTTTTCAAAATCATCCTGACTAATGATGACTTATGTCCTCCCAAATTGACTGTGTGAGCTGGCCTTGCGCATTTGTGCAAAAAGCTTTATGTGTGGATATTTCTTGATCAGTATTCTCATAGCTAGAAGCTTTGTTTAAGGTTTTCTTTCTTCATTCTCCTGTCTTATTTGGTGAGATTTTACTCTCTCCCATTAATTGCCTTTGGACACTTTGAAACTTAAAATTTTAAGTCAAGCTTTGACTTGGCTGGATTTCCCTGTTAAAGACAAGAAAGTTGTCTTTATTATCATTTTGAACCAAGGTTTCTATATTGCCTGTGATGAATGAGAAAAGAGGGGAGTCTTTTTGGTTCTTCCCAACTCTCAATCCCCCCCAGCAGTGGCTGCTATTTCATTTATTTTTGAATGATTTTTATTTTTTTTTTACTTTTCCCCCAATTTGTGCACACAAAACCTACCAATTCTCTACTTACTGAACGTTTTTCATTGGAGGCAACCTTTGCATATTTCTAGTACTAGAATGTTCTAGGTCTCTTGAATTTCAATATTCATCTTTTGCTCTTTTTAGAATGTGTATTGTTTGATGACCTATTTCCATTTAGTTAAAAAAAGATTCTTTGCTTTGTCCCCCACCTCCTTTTCAGTGACACATGGCCCTTCTCTAACAGCTGCTTTTTTTTTTTTTTTCTAACAGCTGCTTTTATCTGCACCACTCACTTGTTGTTACCCTTAATATAATACTTTGTTATGTAAATGATGTGTTGATGCATATGATATTAAAACTGCATTCACTGGGGATTAACCCGAGTATGAGATCATCACCAGCCAATCCTCTATCTGATTTGAAAATGCATTGATAAAAGTCACATTATCATTTTGAACCAAGGTTTCTATATTGCCTGTGATGAATGAGAAAAGAGGGGAGTCTTTTTGGTTCTTCCCAAACTCTCAATTAGCTGCCCGGTTGGAGAGTTTTGGGGATTTCTATACTAAGAAGCTTAGCTTAATAATAAAATTCTCGGATTGTAGTTTTATAGATTTCTTTAGAATTTGCATCAGGACATTTCCCCCCTTATGCCTTCTTCCTCTCTGGGAGTTTTTTTAACCCTGCATTCTGACTCTGTGTCTTTAAAATATGAAAAGACGTCATAGTAGATGGACAAGCCTTTTGATATTTTTTTGGTCCTCGAAATAGATGGAATATCTAGATGATGTACTAATTTGTGCACATGCGTGCATTTCATCAGGTGTTGGATGTAAATCTGCTAGGATTAGCAAAATTGACTTCAAGTCCTGAATCCAATCATAAATGATTGGGAGAGCATACAATGAACTTTATCCTAATTTGTTAAGATTTAGGATGGATGGTGGGGGACAGGAAATAGGAAAAAGATGTCTGTAAAGAGACTGGTGAAGTGCTCTTGGCTGCATTAACCACTTCATAATTACTTGATTTGAAAATGTTTTTAGAAAAAGCTCATGTTTGTCTTAATGAGTCCTTATAGGCTTGAGCCATTGTCTGGAGTTGTGCTTTGTAATAATGGCCTACCCAGTGTGTGCAACCCACCTCTCTCAAGGTAACATGAACATTGATTTCCTATCTATTTGGTATTTGTTGAAAAAAATAAAAGTAACTCTTCCTGTTTAACAGTTGCCATTCAAGCTTAATCCATTTTCCTCCATAAATTTAAAAGGACTCTTGTTTTTTTTTAAAAAAACACAAATTTAATAGCACAATCTTTTAAATTAAGTTGAAGGCTTGAATTTTAAGTCTCAGAGTTCAGATTCATGGTAGACGGCGTTGTGCCTTGAATCCACTATCGTATAAAAAGTATTGATATTAGTATCCTGGAGCCCTAACTCCTTGCCTGGTGCCTTTTCAAAAGTGACCTGCAAGGAATGGCTGTGGGTCACACAATGGGACCCCTTATTTCAGCCCTCTCTGCAGAGGAGGGCCACATCCATCCTATTTTACCATCTAGTGTCAGTTTGTTAGACCATCAACCTAGCTGAACCCAGCTCAAGGATTTGTTAATTGTGTGCACCAGCTAACTTGGGTCACTCTAGCAGCTGTGGCAATATTTGTAGTTACACAACAAACATTTCAAGGGGAGCTAATAGTGGAAGGATTGGGTAGAGTGACTTCATTTGGACCTATTGGAACACATGGGAAGACGTGTCTGAAATGACAAGTAGGCAATTTTAGGTAATGATTTAAGGTTTACTTGTGGAACAGAACTTAGCATATTAATTTATTGTGTGATAGTCTCCCCTTTCATAATTTGTGCTTTTTAGTTGCTATAAAAGCTAACTAATAACTTGCAATAAAACATTTTTTGGGCATTGTTGTAAATAATGATAACGGCAGACTTAGTGTGTGCCAGGTGTAGAGTGTTGATGTTAACTAAGCATTCTGGTTAATGGATGACATTCTATGTGTGGATGAACTACTCATTTTTAGAGTCATGAATCTAAAATCAGGTTGAATCACTTCATGCCTTTCATTTTAATTCAAAAGATGTCAGGATCTTAGAGTTGCAAATCATCAGCATGAGCATAAATAATTTTAATTCAGAAATATGGTAGTGCCAGATATTAGGGCATTTTTGTTAATAAAATGGCAAATAAAAAGAATTTGCTATGTTTAGAAAGGTAGTAAAGATGCAGATAATTTGTCTCCTGATAGGAGATTATAATATTATTGGTATAGAAGAGTAAAATATCTAGTAAAGAGAAAATACTTTTTTCTTTTAATAAAAAATGGCATTGCATGCAAAATAATTTCTGTTGGCTTTGTTAGTGCTGTAAGTTCATTATAAACTAGAAAGCAATTGTACATTTCTGTGGCATTTGAACTGTATTAATTGAGGGTGGAATTGTCAAAAGCTAGAGTTTTTATTAGTTTTTTAATGACTATTGTGTCTGCTTGAATTCTCCTAGTTTCACATGTGTGCTAAACGTCCTAAAGTTTCCTCTGAAAATTCATGCTTTTATTCATTTTCGTATCTTCCTTTGCGTAATGAATCATGAAAATTATGATGGCTCCTTGGTATATCATCAATATGCCTGTGAATCATTGGACCTCAAACCTCAGAATTTTCCACATATATCTTTTAACATATCAAAGGAGGATTTTAGCAAGGAAGACACTTAAAGACCATGTAGTGCAGTGGTTCTCCACTGGGGGCAGTTTTGTTTTCTAGGGAACATTTGGCCATGTCTGGAGGCATTTTCTGGTTTTACCCCTTCAGGTGGGATTAATTGGGGGCCTAGTAGGTGAGAGGCCAGGGATGCTGCTGAATATCCTTTGAAGCACAAGACAACCCCTCCATATAGAATTAGCTGACTCAAAATGTCAGGTTCAGTGCTATGCATTAGGTCCAGAGTTGTGAGGTAAGTCCCCTGTGCCCTTCTGTTTATTGTGGTCGGGAGCCTAGATCTCTAA